GTTATGTCGCCAGATTACTTTCTGGATGAAAGCACTTTACCTTCCGTTGAATGTTCATTTAATCTGGACGTGACTATGATTATTTGACACTTACAACCACATTTTACGCTTTATTGTCATTAAGGCAAACAACAAGTAGGAAACAATCGCGCGTGTATTTTATGTTGCTTTTTTCTTCCCATAGTTACAATCTATTCGACTGCGACCTGAGGGTGAGGGAATCCACACCGAAGATTTTGAGATTTGGGACGTTTCTAATCCCAAAGATCCTGTCAAGGTTATTTATACCATCTCTACCCCTGACATAATCAGTCGACAAGCATGGCTGCAGGATATTCAACGAACCTTAAAGAATTACGGTACGGTTTTATACCCGATATCAATCGATCTTTAAGAAAGGTCTACCACTTCTTTCTCCATATTAAGTTGGTTTTAGGCATTAGTTATACTGTTTGTAGGTAGCTAAAATGCAATGAAGAGTGGTTTCAAGCTCAGTTCCGTCTACAACCGATCAAAGTCAGTCACTTACCGATTTCTCCTAGTGCTAAATGAATCAAGGATTTACAGAACACTGATACAGATTTCACTGCTCCAACATCAAAATTATTCTGCAAACATTCGTAGATTAAGGAGCACTAGTGGTTGTGTCTGTTTAATACCCCCTAAAACGGGATCACAGGGGCACGTACTTATTTCGCCTCCGTCTGCGTGAATGTAGAGGGAGGTTGTTTGGACGTCAGCAACTATTCTCCCATTGGCCCACCTTTACATCGACCATTCACGCACGTGCGTAAGTGCAAGCACGGGCCTTCGATCGATGAGCGGTATTCATGCGTGCCCAGAGCGCACATCCACGCACGCACGCACGCACGTGTGAAATGCAACTGTGTTCTAGGGTCAGTAGTGGGTGAAGGCAGACCTACGACAGAAGTCTAGGAGACTTTATTTGAATTTTGGCAAGGGAACTCCTACTTCACCTCCCCCATCAGCATCATCAGCCTAAACTTGTCCTGATTATTGACCACATCAGTCCACTCTCTACGAAAGATTTTTTTTCGATTGGTCGCTTTTTTATGCATTTCGATGGATGTGGATCCTATTTCAGACATAGTTGATTATCTCGTGGACGTTGCATTGTTGCGAGCTCATGAAGAGGCTTCTGCGGAAGCCAATCAAACTAGGACTAATTTGGTGGACGACACCATCACAGAGGCAACAGATGGAATTACGGACTCTTTCTATGATGCTGATGAGATGCTAAAATCGAAGACCTACGATTCAGACGCTGCTCTCCCACAGTCCAGAGGTGAGGTGGTACATGCTCTCCTGAGTGTTAATAAAATTCTCAGACTAAAAATGTAGTCTTTTCCAATTATCATCTTAGCAGCATTATTTTATGGCTTAAGAGGTGAGGTGAAACTATAGTAACAGGCCTATTTTTATGACCGAAAATTATTGTAGCACATGAAACAAAATGGACACTGACGTATAACATGTGCTGTGGGATGTCACACTTAGGATTGCTCATGATTGCAAAGTCCGTTTTGGTCAATTACGAATCCCGCTGCAATGGAAAGTACGAATTCCTAATGTGAAGTGAAAATCCCTGGTGTGTTCTATGGTATAAGTACTTAAAGAATGTGAAAACTGTTGTAATTTCTTGACAGTTTTGTAGGATTTATGGGACCACGATTCAGACAACACGCGCGAAGATTTAATATTTGTCATTGGTCGTTTAAAACTGGAAAATGAATAAAATAGAATTTGTTTTATGTCTTTTAACACTCCATTCCTAGCACTTAGATGCGCCCACAGCCTTTGTTTGCACAATAAATGATAATTATATTGTGAATATTTTATATATTTATATGCATACATATCGACATTCATTGGCATTATAAGATAGCAATTAAGGCAATCTTTAGGAATTTCTTTAATCATCCTTCGCGGCAAACGCCAAACATAGGTGGTACCTCTTTTCGGAAAATAAATGCTAAAATGACACTGGCATAAATGCCGGAACTGGTTCGCAAGCATGGTAAATTACAAAAAGGTCTTCTGCATTTGGATCTTTTTTATCTTTAAATTGTCTCTGTTAAAAAGGGGACGATTATCCTGACTACGATCTAGAGTTTGTACACCTGGTGAATCACAATTATTCTGTCACCGATCAACGTAGCAAGAAGTGCGGGGAATGTTTAGGAAAATATTTGTAATAGCAATTAATTTGTTGGAAATGACGAAGTTAGGTGGAGTAATAGTTTATGACGTCTTTACAGGCCAGTATAAGACTTAAAATCCCGAACTAAGTATACCCTCAAAAATTTTATGTATCTAACACTGAAATGTAAATTTTTTTATCTTATAGGCTTAATGGAATGCAACTTTCTCTAATTTGTCCAAAGTAGATGCATTAATGTGTTGAATGCAGGGTGGTCAAACGTCCAGGCGGCTACAGTCCCAATCAAGGGGGAACGAAAGAGAAACATATTCACTAAAATAGAACAGCAGTTGTAGAGACTATAAGGGAGATGAAGATAAGCTCTGGGTCCTCTTGTGTAATCAAAATCTATAATGTTTGTAATATATGTCCCAGAAAGGCAGCTAAATGACTGAGGTAGTGGTGTTTACACAATTTTTCCCGACACTCAGCCGATAGTCATGGAACAAACAGTGATGACGATGCTTAAGTAGCTAGACCCTCAAGAGGGGTGAATAAAATATAATAATACGACTAGCGCAGTTAATTGAAGAACGTCCGTCCTGTAATAGTAGTTCCTTCAGCGGTCTTGTTAGCAAAAAAATGGACTTTACTCCGCATTATGGAGTTCTAAGGGATAACAAATAGCTCTAATGTGCTCATTTTCTACTAGTTTTTCATCAACTAAGTTTGTCGTAAATTTTTCAATAAAGCAATTTTTTATTCAATGTAATGTCACCTAAAATAAGCTGTAAAGCCTCTACTTTGAAAAACCGATGAGCCTAAAGCCATTGTTTTGTTTCTTCTTTCCTTGGCCCTCCAATCACTGATCGTCAGTGGATGATGAATCATCCCTAACCTACTACACGGCCGAGGGATCAGTTATGCAACTGGCCAAGCAAGGTACGACGAAGCAGCGTCCGGACAGCATTTTAAGTATTGGTACGTGTGGTCACACCAACAGCCACGCTCTCTCCTCTTTGTATTCTCCCGTCTTCCCCTTCTTTAGCCGACGCTTTAATCGAGAAGGGTAGGATAGAGCCTACTAACCGCTCCTTTTCCACCAGTGTAACCCGCCTTGCCTCTCTACCATATTACGTGCCCGTTGCAGTGCTGCCCAACTTTGTAAAGCCTACCTTCATTGGCTCCCATATTCCTTTACAGATTCCGTCAACACGCTGGATGGTGTCAGTAACCCCTTCATGGAACAGATTCCTGAACTAGAAGACAAAGCGCCAGGTAGGCTGCAGCAAACCAAATTGTAACTTAACAATTTTAGAAATCAACCAGGTTGTGATAACTCAATCAATCAAAGCGAAAAAACCGTATGTTCACCGCTCAGAGCTGCAAAACATTAATTCTTCAGAGGGTGGTGAAATGGAACTAAACATTGAGACTTCTACTTCTGACAATGACGCCTACACAGCTGAATGGACTTTCAATGGGGTTTCGATTGATGCGGAGAATATGAGTGCTTACCCTCGTATTGAGGGTAACACCGCATACCTTCTTGTCCCTAAAGTATCTAAAAAGCTCCATGAAGGATGTTATGAATGCACCCTCACTTGGCCGTCTGGAATGCAAGCGATTTTTCCATTCGCTGTGGTGGTCCACGAATCAGAAGACGGTGTAGATCCAACGAACAAAGTCAGTAAGTTGCGCTTGAAAACTGCAGAGATCTCAAAATTAACAGTCCCAAATGAAAATGAAGAGAGCTCTCCTGCCTTTCACGAAGTTGAAATGGATTTGTTACCTGAGAATCAGAGGAATAAAGATGAGACAGAAGAAACATTGAACTCTGTGATATCGGAGGCCAGTGAACACAAGAAGCTCTACCGTGTGGCAAAGATGAGCATTATCGGCATTGATCATGAACCTTCTTTGAGGAATGCTTCCTTGACGGAAAGTGCAGACGCTACAAGGATGGAGGAGAGTATCGCTAGCTCAGTAGTGCCGAAGACTTTGGATGAAGCTCCTACGGCCATAAAACCATTTATCCAAGAGTACATGAAACCGACTAAAGTGAACGGAACGGAAGGCGAACCATTCAAAATAATAGCACCTGAAGCAGTTGGCAAAACCTCGAGTGTTTGGTGGACGATGAACGGAAGAAAGCTTCCCAGTAATGTATTTGAGACTGAGAGAAGATCATCGAGTGTAGAATTAATCAAGTCGACATTTTCCAGTTCCGATTCTGGAGAATACACTCTTTGGGTGGACGGGAAAGTGAAAGCAAACTTTGTTCTAAGCGTAGAAAAGGCGAGGGAAGAAGAAGCACAAAAAGAAGTAGGTATTTTAGAAAAGGGCGAGGAAGCCCTTAATGAAAAGACAGAACTTCCCATGGATAAAGAGAAAACTGAAATTAAAGACCAGAAGCCGAAGCCGTCTCTAAGGGCTGAAGAAGCTGACAAGGGAGAGTATTTTGTTGAAGAAACGATTACAAAACCAGGTGGTGTTGTTC